CCTGTTACTTCCCTGTCCTTTACATTACCCCGTGGGCGAGGAAGCCGCCCCTAGGCGTTTGTAGTGACAGTCAGCCCACAATACTGTACGGCTTTCGGTTCCTGAAATAAAAGTGAGAATTTTGTAAGAAGTTTGTATCTTACTCAGCTCCCCGCCCAAGTTAAACACACGTTGGTAAACTCTGAGTTAGTTCCAAACAAAACAGTTTAGCTACAGAGTGTTAGCTCTTGATGGGATATACTTGAAGTATTTTTACAAGGGGAAACATGGAGACAGTGTGAAGGGAAGATATACTGCGATATTTTATGCATTTATTTAGTATTAGATGACTAGTACTGCAAAGGCCCAGGAAAATATAGTTTATTTTCCCTTTATATTGAGAGAAGGCGCTTTGCTTGTCGTCACAATAACAATATTAGCAATAGCGAGGGCGTTGCTACGCCTGAGAGATTTCCAATGCCTTTCATTTGCCTCGCTGTTGATTTGTGTTTAGAGAAGCGTGACCAGAGCGATGGTTGACTGTCGTGTAGAGCGAGAAGCTGTTAAGACACGTTCAGTAAAGGCGAGGAATCGTTTCATACCACCTCGACCATGATAACGAATGATAACTAAAGATCTTTTTTTTCTTCAGGAAACTCTCTTTATGAACTGAATCTAGGAGAGAAGATTTCTCTCTCCAGGTGTTGTATGATTATCACTTCAGGCCCTTGATTGGTGCATGACAGCGTAGACACCTGTTGGGAATTTTCCACAAATGTCTTCTGGTCAAATCTAACGGAATTTCCCTTGATGTGCCCTAGTTTGTCTGCCACTATCTCTGAAGGTCGTGTAAGAGCCTCGACACCCACTAAACACACACACACACACACACACACACACACAACAGCTCGAGTTTAATTGAGGAGGAGGAACTATCACTTTATACTCGGAGGTATTGACGCTTGAGTCGTACTTGAGTAGGTAATAAACTGTCCCGGGAAAAGAACCAACACTGTAGTCTGATATTTGGAGCAGTGAAATAAAAAGACACATTGATATTGTTTTTATCGGAAAGGAGAAAGAGAGAGAGACAGAGAGAGAGAGAGAGAGAGAGAGAGAGAGAGAGAGAGAGAGAGAGAGAGAGAGACCACTTTAATTTAATATTTGGAAGTGTAATAAAAAAAAACAACAACTGGAACTGATGGAATTGTTGACATATTATAAATTTTCAATCCAATATTTCGTACACTATTTTTGTTTTTAATCTTAATTCATCTTTTGAGAAATTTTATCTTCATATTTTAAACTGATAACCAATACTTATTTATTTCCACATTAAAGAAAATTATAACATTTCGTGCAGCCAAACTCAATATCATACAAATTAAAGGTAAAACATATTTAATGGGATTCAATGAAGCTTTATAAATCTCTTCGATCCAATTTTTCGGAACGGTGATGCTCATTCACATTGAGTTTGTGGAAAAAAGAAGATTTATTAAATTCTTCTTCAGATCAGTACTCTAATATGGAAGCCACTTTCAACTTGATCTACTAGAGAGGGGGTGGGATTTCTCTCTCTCTCTCTCTCTCTCTCTCTCTCTCTCTCTCTCTCTCTCTCTCTATCTCTCTCTCTCTCTCTCTCTCTTGCGGTATAAGAGAATGTCTTTTAAGAATTCACCAAGATATGATCAGAGAGGATTCAAGTGACTCTACTGAGAGGTAGAGTTAGGGAAAGTTTTAGCTCCATCAGAGAGCTCTATGAAAGTTAGAGTTACCTATAACTTTTTATTACTTTGTTTTACTTTTTAATACTTCGAATTACTTTACTGTTACTTTAGTTTACTTTTTAATACAGACAGACAGACAGACAGACAGACAGACAGAGAGAGAGACAGACAGACAGACAGGCAGATATTGATCCTTTTGTATTAACTTCCAAGATGAATCGGCCTTAAGACTTCACTTAAATCAAGCTTAATGTTATCGCTACTTAAAGACCATTATGTAAATTGCGTCAGGATTAAAGTGTAGTCTGGTGACGTTTACCTGTAATGGCTGTAATTAGGTAGTTAAGATGGGTTGTTAAGTGGAAGAGAAGGACATTATCAACGGGTGGAAGTTGACTTTATTTATGAATGGTGTATTTATTGTTGTTATTATTATTGTTGTTGTTGTTATTGTTGTTTTTGTTGTTGTTATTGTTGTTTTTGTTGTTGTTGATGTTATTATTATTGTTGTTGTTGTTGTTGTTGTTTTTTATATTATTATTAGTAGTATTTTTTTTTATTCTTTTATTATCAACAACAATATTATATAAGGTTAGGGAAACAAGACAATGAATAAAACAGGAATGGAGAAATTTGAGAGAAATCGTTCCAAGATAGAGAATAAAAAGAGAGATAGAAAAAGAGGGTTAAAGGGGAAAAATCAGGGAAAAGGGGAACAAAGAAGAGGAGAGCGGAAGGGATAAATAATAAAGGAAAGGAGAAATAGCTAGAATGAAAGATAAGATAGGAGATATATGTGATAGGAGAGAGGGGAACAGGGAGATAGTGATGGAGGAAGACAAGAGCCATAATAAAATTATAATAAGGAAAAGGGAGAGTAAAAGCACTAAGATAAACAAGGAGAATAAGAGGAAATCAACGCGAATGAGAGAAAAAGAGAAAATACTAGAGAGGGACAAATGAACACGTAAGGGAAACGAAGAATAAGAAGACAGAGATGAAAGAGAAGAGAGAGAAAGAGAGACAGAGAGAGAGAGAGAATGAATGTATTAAAAGTTTGAATAGGAGGAAAATAGGTAAATTTCAAACTCCATTTACAATGTATGTGAGTTAATAAACAGATGATAAAAATAGAAGTAAAGGTAGATAGAACTAAGGGAGAGACAGGATAAAGATGTGGAAGAGGGAAGCAAAGATTGACATGAGGAGTGGAAGGTTAGGATGTGAAGTATTGAATAAATAAGAAGAATATAAAATAGTTGGGGAGAGAAGTGTGGACTGAGAAAAAGACAGACATACAGACAACGTTGAAGAGAAAGATAAAGAGACAAAGATATAAAAGTAAATATTTTTATACATGTATCTCTCTCTCTCTCTCTCTCTCTCTCTCTCTCTCTCTCTCTCTCTCTCTCTCTCTCTCTCTCTCTCTCTACCACCACCACTAGCACCATTACCACCACTTACGAGATGATAGAAGCTGTGGCTCAGGTGGCCAAGCGCTGATATGTTTTAACTAGGTGTTGTCTGGTTCTAACAATATTCATCTACATTTAATGCATTCTTTACCGCACACAAGACAGTTATGATATGTAACTTTAATACATAATTTCACCTCATGATTCTAATACTTTTATAGATAACTTTTATACATAATTCTGTATAATTTTTCATAGACGATTTAAATTCATTCATTTTTGGCGTAATTATTCATGCAATTATTCAGAATGTAATTTTTACCTAGGAATATATTACAATATATAACATAACAAAAGCGTAATCACCATGCAAGAAGGACTTAAATAACAGTTATTACAGAAATTAAGATTAGTTCTAGAAGCAGGAATAGTAGACCATAATTCATTACCTAATTATTTAATTTTTTCGTGGCAGTTTAACTCAGTAAATGGGACAGAGGGAGATATTATTATTATTATTATTATTATTATTATTATTATTATTATTATTATTATTATTATTATTATTATTATTATTATTATTATTATTATTATTATTATTATTATTATTATTATTATTATTATTATTATTATTATTAGTTAATTTTACGTCGCCCTGTTGATTATTGTTAGGTTTAGTTAGCCTAGGTTAATATTTGGTTAGGTTAGGTTAGATTAGGTTAACGTTTGGTTAAGTTGGATTGGGATACTGCAGCTCGTTTTATGGAGGTTGCACATCTGACGGACCCTCGATATAATGTACTTTCCTCTCCATATATTCCGTTAAATAGAGGTTTCGCTGTATCTGTTCATTGAAGGAGTTGATGACGTCATGAGGGGTCTTGATAACAGGTGACTATGATTAAAACGTTGATGTGAGAGAAAGTGAGAGAGCGATGATAAAGAGGGGAGAGAGGGAGGGAGAAGAGGAGGGGGAGAAAGAGGGGTAGAGGAAAGAAGGGAGGATGGAAGGGGAAGGGGAGTAGGGGTAGAGGGGGGGAAAGGAACGGAGAGGAGTGGTAGAAGGAGGGAGATGAGGTGTAGAGAGAGTAAACGAAAGGGGTAGAAGAACGGAGAGGTAGATGCAGGTAGAGTGGGAGGAAGAAAAGAATGAATGTAGGGAGGGGAATGATGGAGTGGTAGAGAGGGAGGAGAGAGGGCTTGAGTGAGGTGTTGAAGAGTGTATGGAGGAGGAGAGGAGTGTGTGAGTGGTGACGATAGGAGTGGGGTGAGGAGAATGGGTGAATGGTAAGTAAACCCAAGAAAAATGAACCGACACAGAAACACAGATAAATAAACCGAATTAAAGAAGAAGAATAAAGTAAAATGGAGAGATAAAGACAACAGAAAAAATGAAAAGAAACATAAGAAAGAAACAAAAAAATAATAACAATATTTATATACGAGAGAGAGAGAGAGAGAATAAAATGCAAAATAAAATTCACCGGAGAGACCAGAACCAAATGGATAAAAGAGAAACACAAGGTAGAACAGTAAACAATTAATACACAACAACATTTACCTGAAGCGACTCAATATCCCTCACTGATTGTTACTTGGCTCTCACCTGACGCGACCAGATGCTAAGGTAGTGATCCGGAGTGCTTCTGATGGTGTTATTCTTCGGGTTGTCGTATATATATATTGCCTGTCTTATGCTGGTTATGTTTGTATGTATGCATGTATGTATGTATGTATGTACACACACACACACACACACACACACACACACACACACACAAACACACACACACACACATACATACACGTTTTCCTTCCTCCTATGCTAATAACACAAAAATCTCATGTGAGTTTTTTCTTGTCTTCGTCATTACAGATCAAAGGCGTGTCTCACCGTCACTCAGCCTCTTAGACTCAAAAAGGGGAGAGATCAAGGAGAGTCTGATGGTTCTACAGTATAAGACCCGATGACACCTTCTACAGGAGCCTCTCTATCAAGACCTTCCGGTACGAGTTTTTAAGACCCACCAATAAGATTCTCCTCAGAACACGTAACATAATCCTCAAGACTACTTCCTGGAATATCTAAGACTCACCAAGGTCTGTAGACGTCTCAAAGACCACTTCATATAACACACAACCACTGTCAGACGTAATGGAAAAGAAACATACACATTAATCAGTTTTCAGAGTCGACAGCTATTAGTATAATATGATGCTTCTAAGTATAATTTATACAGTATAATAGTCAAGATTCCATAAAAGAGTGAATATCTTGCATAATCTGTATTTATTTTCAGAATTATATAATACTTTACATAATTTAATAAGATACATTCATGAAAACTATTATGCCAAAGTTTTCATATAAATATTGAGAATAGTAAAGAAGAGTATATAATGAGACTAAGGAAGAGATGATAAGACCAAATGTGATATATTCATGTAGAAACTGTTAGTTGTATGGCAAAGTTTGATAAGAAAAAATTAGTAATGTTTTTTATCATTATATTTAACGTATTTACCGAATTACATTTCTATTTCCAGGATGAAGGGTTCTCGTACACGTCAGATATATTTAATGCAATGAACATTAAATTTACAAGTGTCAGTATATCCTCAATGAGACACTTGTGACGACAGACATTGAGTGCATCACGACCTGTGAGTGACTAAACAATAATTTTCATCTCATAGTAATTGACAGTTCGATATACAACGATAAAATGATAACTAGACATTTATATATATTCTCGTGTATTAACCCAAAGGACATATAAGTTATGGTATGGAAATTCATTCATAAGTTACTCAGTGCATGATGTTAGAGAGAGACAGGAGGTAGTGTACAGTACTGCCAGCTGGGTCTCAACTACTGAAGGACCGTAAGATAACACGATGATCAAGACCAGTGTTTGGAAAATATTTAGTAGACGTCGAATTTTGTCTCATAGTTCCCCTGGTGGTTTGTGCTGAAATACTGACTCGTAATCATTTTGTTTTTATTTCTGTTTGTTTGGTGAAGGATTTTATGTATTTGTGTTTGTTAATGATGTGAAAAAAACCCCTTAAGATAAAGGCAATTAATCGCTTACTCAAACCCGCGAGGCTGAAAATTTGGAGTAAGAAGAATCAGAAAATAGTAAATAAAAGGACTATTGGATTCTATGGTCTCTTAATAAGGTATGGGAGCAGGGAGAGACATACATAAGAGAACTGGTGACAGTGTTTAGTGAATAGACGCTTATGAAAAGATAAGTACTATTTATTCTGTAAACACTAATATTCTCCTCGTGTTTATGAATGAAATAAGTGTCGTATTAGTGGTATTACAAGTGTTGTGCATTTGTAATAGATTACCTTGAACTGAAAGCACAATCTGAATTAATATGATGCAAAGTGTTTTATATTTGGTCAATTTCACGGAGAAGAGGAAGAAGAATAAGGCACTTGACACAGTGAGACAATAGTGAGAGATGAACCCTGATCCTGCCCCTCTACTACCTAGCATCCTGAAGACCTCCTCACCTCTCCCAGCCTACTCCTCAGCACCTGCCATAGCCACCACCACCAGAACCACCACCACCACCACCATGTCCCTCTCCTACGACGACCCCTACGGTTACCTCCTACAGAACCTCACCCTCAGCTACCCAAACATCAACTGGAGTTACATCAACTTCACCAACCTCACCGACTTCACCTTCCTGGTTGACACGACGGAGAGAGTCACCAGCAACTCAGAGACCATTACCAACTCGACGGAGACGGCGCTGTACGAGGTGCCGACGGGGATTGTGGTGCTTCTCTCCATCTTCTACGGGTCCATCTCCCTCATAGCCGTGGTGGGGAATGCCCTGGTGATGTGGATCGTGGCTACCTCCCGCAAGATGCATTCCGTCACCAACTACTTCATAGCTAACCTCGCCCTGGCTGACATCATTATAGGTCTATTCGCTATACCCTTTCAGGTGAGTCCTTGATGGTGAGAGAGAGAGAGAGAGGGGGTGACAGATATACACTCACACATATACATACAGTACACACATCTCAAAAAAACTCTACTATCCTTCTGTTAAAAGAAAGGTATAAATACACACATAAAGTACCCCAGAGACCAGAGTGAAAGATCTCAATGGATTCGAACCCTTTTGTCACGCGTTTCATCTGGACACAATCTCATAATGGCTCGAATCCCCTTCAGTACGCTTGGGGTTCTAGGCCGCGTATCTCACTGTTTGTTTTACGTCAACCATTGTGTACCGTGTTTAATGTTTTGATTTCCCGATATATATATATTTTTTTTTTTAACCAGTTGAATTACCCGGCTTCGGTCGTCCCCTAGCCCACCCGCACCTCCCTACCAAATTTTAGCTCTCTGTGTTCAAAACTATAGAAATGGACGAGGAACACACACACACACACACACACACACACACACACACACACACACACATATGCAGAATGTATTTTTGTTTATTATTATTATTATTATTATTATTATTATTATTATTATTATTATTATTATTATTATTATCATTATTAATATTATTATTACAACTATTATTAATTAATATTATTATTATTATTATTATTATTATTATTATTATTATTATTATTATTGTTATTATTATTATTATTATTATTATTATTATTAGTAGTAGTAGTAGTAGTAGTATGTATTAGGATATTTAATATTAAGGTAATAAATGGCGGCGAAGGTGTGGCTATTGGGGGAGGCTGGAGGCCACGTAAAAAAAAAGTAGTAGTAGTAGTAGTAGTAGTAGTAGTAGTAGTAGTAGTAGTAAATCTAAGTATTCCAGGTGATTATATTCCCAGCACTACATCTCTAATTTCCAACATTTACTTTCTGTTCATGTCACATGTTTGCGTCATTAAGAAATATTCATCATGTATGCAAATTTTCCGACGGAGGAAATAAACGTTTTTTTTCTTCATATAAATAATTATTTTACGGCCTGTGTGACGTCCATCAGCGGTTTGATCTTTCACTACATAATATATAAAAGAAGAATCTGAATTAGTTGTTCTTATTGACTGTGATAAATGTATGGGTTAGATTATACGCCTTCAGTACGGTCCAAGAGAGAGATGGCAGTTTAAAGTCACATAATAAAACCTTAATGGCACCTTCTATCCTCCCATCCCCATCCCCATCCCCATCCTCATCCCCATCTCCATCCCCATCCCCATTTCTCCTCTACACGTTTACCCCCTAAAAAAAATCTTACGTCCAACATCGCCGCACGAGTGAAGGGTAAAAAAAAAATTGTAGCATAGGAGGGGAAAACTATGCTGGGAAAAGTATCCCTTCAGAGAGTCAGTTGGGAAAGGCAGTGCTGGTTGATGAATGGTGAAGAATGTTAATGAGAAGAGAGTGGAAATATTTGTGAGTGTGTGTGTGTGTGTGTTTGAGTGAGAAGAGGAAGAGGTAATGAGGAAGGGAGGATAATAAAGATAGCAAGAAGAGAAAATAGATGATGATGATGATGATGATGATAATGAATTGAGAGAGAGAGAGAGAGAGAGACGATGCTGACAATTACACAAAACACAAAAACTAACATAAGCGCACACACACACACACACACACACACACACACACACACACACAGGAGGCTAGAACTTCACTGACCGATTTTAACAGCCTCGTGTCCTCTCTCCAAGATCAAGACACAAATAAGAAAATAAGATAACTTAAAGGTGTTTGTTTTTTATACGTATGATGGACAATATATAACAATTAGTCTACACTCTCGGCTGGTCCTTCACTGACTCTCTTCCTTATCGAGCGACGCGGTGAGTGTAGTCAACGAAGAGGAAGGTGATTCTTCCTTCGTTTCTTTCCCAGAACGTACAAGGGGTCACGTCCATAAAAGACCCACTTGATTGGCTTGGGAATATTGGCTAGCCAGGCACATGTTTGGCTAATCCTTGGTGACGGTGCAACGAGGTGGACTGACTAATATGTTTTTCGTTTTTTTTTTTGGTGTGCGTGTGTTTGCTAGGTATGTTGTGGAGTTGTATGGTGTTTTTGTGTGTGTGTGTGTGTGTGTGTGTGTGCGTGTGTGTCTTGTTCCCCCGTAAGACTCCCACCTTACTCCCACACCCACACCAACTGGAGGGAGGGAACAACATCTATTTTGCATCCCTGTGACTCTTGAATGATTAATAAGTCAAGACTGGAGACGACGTTCATGGAGAGAATCCCCCACCCCCCCACCCATTGTTGTTATGACAGTGAGCTCTGAGTTTGATGTCACAGGAACTTCTGTAACTTCAACCTCTTCTTAAGCTGGAGTGCTGCTTTGGGAACGTTTCCATTTAGAACTTAAGGGACATCCTAAATATGATGATTCCAGAACACCTCCAGTTATGACCTAGATGAGTTACTATAGGAACGTCTGTCTCTCTCTCTCTCTCTCTCTCTCTCTCTCTCCTCTCTCTCTCTCTCTCTCTCTCTCTCTCTCTCTCTCTCTCTCTCTCTCTCTCTCTCTCTCCTCTCTCTCTCTCTCAACAACACGAGCTATAAACAACAAACTGGGTCCACTCAAATTCTAAAATTCAACCATAGAGCCAACCCCAAATACCAGCCCCGACACAGTCCTGTTGGCACATCAACACACACACACACACACACACACACACACACACACACACACACACACACACACATACACACACACACACGCGCGCGCACACCGAACACATCATAATTAAGCTATGTTCAGTACATATATGCAGAAACTGTTATGAAAAGCTTAAATGGTCACATAACAAGTCTTCTTCCCAACACAGTTTTATCCTACAAAGGTTGCCATTCTCTGCACGCTTTAAACCTTCTTTCCTTGTCAGTTTTCCTTCCCTGCAGGAGTCACTGTGCTGTCTAGACCCATAATGTATTTACATGAGACAATATTCTTGTAGTAATTGAGAATTAAAGTAAGTGATGCAAGCTCTAGTAACAGCTGGCCGTCATATACTTGCCAGTCCAGTTGAGGGGAGGACAGGTAGGTGGGCGGCCTGTTCACAGTTACTCTCCTCTAGTACACTGAGGAACTTGTACACAAACTTCAGTTCCCTCAATGTTGTGTGTGTCACTTTTCCTCCCTCAGGGTTGATGGAAAGTGAACCCAAGTTAGGCGGGATATAAGTTCCATTTCCACTGTCCAAGTTTTCCAATGTTGCCTCAGCCAATGTTGTGTCATTCTGGGGGGGCGTCCTTGTAGTGTGGCCAGATCCGTGGAATAACTTCTCCAATTATTTGGATATTTTAGCCGGGGCAGAGGTGAGCCAAGACCACCAGCATGTTGTGAGTCAGTTTCTCTCCTTCACCATCTCTGTAGACGATATCCTGTAGAGCTTATCACAGTATCAATGCCACGTAGATCATGGGAACTTTTCTTCTTGTAACTTTAAAAACAAGAGTATTATTGAAGCCTCATCCAACTCCTGATCATCAACTTTCCACTGAGAGAACGGAATATGACTCAATTTGGTATGTTCGACTATTGTTTGTGTGTCAGATGAAGTTAGCTTGGTGACGTAGAGCAGAACACTCACAAACATCATTGAGAGAAGATAATGATTTTGATTATTGGTTGTTGGGTGAGAAAAGACCTTCGGGGGAAGAGTTTCAACACCCTCATCCTCTTCCTACTACTACTACTATTACTACTAGTTCTACTCCTCCTGTGTAGCGTCTCCAGGCTTATTCCAAATACAAGACATGACCTTTAGCTCAACTCCTCTGCCTGGGGCCACGTCATAGGTAATTCAATACGTTTGTTCTCAACTTTGACTTTGACTCTCAGAAACTTTAGACAACATATGTGGTAGCGACCGTCTGCTCTCATAACACCATTACCACCCACTCCACCAACACCTACGCGCTTCACATATTTTGAGCTCCTCTGTGATTTGGCGTGTGCGTGTTCTAGTTACACGTTGTTTTGTTTAATTTCGGTGTCTTGACTAAAAAAATCCGTAGTTTCAAGTCCACTGGCTATTAGGGTTGATTCTTCATACTCTCGATGTTGAAAACCTGCCAAACTATTTATTTTCCAAATTATTTAAGCTGGTTGAGACTAATTGTTATGATTGGCCGCTCTGGTGTGTTCAGCGAGTTTGTATGTATAAAAAAAAATTTAAAAGTAAATGTTCTTATCATCGTCATTCAGAAAGTATGGGCAGCTGACATTTAATATGGCGGCCATTTCATTATTCATCAATTTTGGTTCTAAAACACCAGAAAACTTCATGGCGGCCAAAATATGGGATTTCAGCACACCTAAATCCTCTGGGAATAAAAGTAGTCTTTAACTTTTCCACAAAGAGGCTTCAAGCATTCACATATCCTGACAACTTTTCTTCTGGGAAAGTTATTTTGACGTTTCATCTCAGTGGAGTCAGAGATTCCTTGATGCAGTAGTTGGGACAGAGTTACTTGCTCTCTTTTGCTCCTGGATGTCACAAGGTGTTCTCCACAGGTAGGAAGTGTCTGAAATCCTCCCCAGGTATCGTCTCGGATCATACAGGAGCGACGTGTAACAGAACCGTCGTGAGCATGACCATGATCCTTGATATACTCCTGGGCTTAAAGTTCTCCCTGTGTGGCTTTGACTCTCCCGGGTGGGGTAAGCTAGGGTCTGATTAGACACACATCTTTACTGACGGCGCCTCGAAGACTGAGATTACGTAGTGGGAGGTAGGGGGGGGGGATATAGGGGATGAAAGAAGAATGTGATGAGTGATGAACCTGAAAATGAGACGTCGACTGCTTTCTCCCGGTCGAGTTATTTTTTTTTCTGAGGGAGTAATTTTCTGTCGAGCATCGGACCATGAACGTCACCTCGGGCAGTCTTCCACTTAATCAGTCAATCTTAGGGAAAAAAACACTTATCCTTTACTGTAAATAAGTGCTGGTGTATCTATATGAAGTAGGGGGTGTGGGGGTAGGAGGAGGTATAGGGGCTGAAGGGGAGGGTGTAAAAAGGGGTGTAGAGTCTTGAGGGGGTGTGGGGTCTTGAAGTGTTGGTGGCTGGAGGGTAGTATGTCATCGTGCGCTTCTACCTGGATTATTATCAATTTACAGACTTACCTGGCGTAAGGTAATCTAACCCTAACTATGCTCTCCTCTCTCTCTCTCTCTCTCTCTCTCTCTCTCTCTCTCTCTCTCTCTCTCTCTCTCTCATTTTCCTCATATAGATCCAATATCTTTTAATTTCAGATAACTTTTTCCTTCTCCCCCTAATTGATAATTTCTTCTTCATATCGTTTCTTCTCGTCCCTCTCTTCCTCTTTCTCTCCTCACTCCTTCATGCCTGTCTGTTAGCCTTATCCTCCCTTTCCTTATTCATTTTCTTTCATGCCTTACTTTTCTTACCCCACTGACCCTAAACACACACACACACACACACACACATACTACAAACCTCCATCACCATCTGTCCTAATCTTCCAACAGTACTAATCCCTCAACCTGTACTAATCCACCACCTTTAAGGATACCTATACTAAATCGCTCTCTCTCTCTCTCTCTCTCTTTTTTTCTCTCTCTCTTGTGTTTCAGTTCCAGGCGGCACTTCTACAGCGATGGAACCTGCCGGAGTTTATGTGCGCCTTCTGTCCCTTCTTCCAAACTGTGAGCGTCAACGTGTCCATCTTCACCCTCACAGCCATCGCCGTCGATCGATACAGAGCCATCGTTTTCCCCCTCAACGCTAGACCCTCCAAGTTTAGGAGTAAGGTGAGAAAAAGTGAGGGAAGTTTGTAGAGAAGTAGGGAGGGAGGTGAGGGAAGGAAGGAGTTGAAGGAGGTCGGGAGAGTAGGAGGTAGTAAAGTGTAGAATAAAGGTGAGGTTAGTTAGATAAGAAGTGGGAAGGGAAGGGAAGGGAAGGGAAGGGAAGGGTAGGGAAGGGTAGGGTAGGGGAGGGAAGGGGAAGGGGAAGGAGATGGGGAAGGGGAGGGAAGGGAAGGGAAGGGAAGAGATGAGGGAAGGGAAGGGAAGGGGAAGGGAAGGAAAGGGAAGGGCAGGAGGTAGGGAGGGTAGGAGGTAGTAAGGTGTGGGAAAAAAGTGAGGGTAGTTAAAAAGAAGTGGGAAGGATGGGTGGAAGGGGAAGGGGAGGGAGTTGAAGAGGATTGTGAGGAAGGGGGTATGGAGGGTTGGGGGGTAAGGAATATAGGAGGTAGGGAGTGTAGAAGGAGAGAGAGCGGGAATGTTCAATATTTTCTTTAGTATAGATAGATTAATACTTTTATTTTTTAAGACCATCTGGATCAACAAAATCCTTTAGTCTTCTTCAGGTGGCTAATCAAACTAATCACATTTCCCCAGTTGGTTGAATGAACTCTCTTGCACTTCCCAGATGGCTCAACAAACTTTAAAACTCCCTCAGATGGCTAAATTAACTTTTTTTATATTCTTCTCCAGATTGTTCAGTAAACTTAGTCAAATTTGTTGAGATGGTTCAACTACCTCGTTCAGTCTCTCTCGGGTAGTTAAGAATTTCTTTTTCCACGGTACAAGCTGAATTATTATCCAATAACTTCCCTTCCTTTCTTCTTTCCTTCATTTATTCCTTCGTCGTCTCCTGCAGGTGGTGATCGCGTCCATCTGGCTCTTCAGTGCTACCCTGGCCATCCCTAATGCCATAGCCCTGAGGGTGAAGTACATTGTGGATCCCCGGACGAAAGAGGACATACCCTTCTGTGGCGTGGTGAGTGTGTTGTGTTGTGTAGGGGAGGAGGTAGAGAGAGAGACAGAGACAGAGACAGAGACAGAGAGACAAAGAGACAAAGAGAAAGAGAGAGAGATAAATCGAGGAATGTTTACTCTCACAATGAATGGGTAAATAAGTTAACCTTTACCTACCACCACGAGTGATAATTCATTTTTACTTCAAGTGGATTCAAACGTAAGTCATGCGTCACACTCCTCTACAAGCACACTGTTTCAAGAGGTTTACAGGCCTTGTTGACAAACAGGAGGTCGCTATACTCGATAATATCTTCCATCGCCATTTTTTTTCTTCACCCTTCACACCTAAAAGTCATGGATAACTTATATTTTCTCTCTCTCTCTCTCTCTCTCTCTCTCTCTCTCTCTCTCTCTCTCTCTCTCTCTCTCTCTTTATTAATGCTCCTCATTGACTTATTAGCTCCTTGACGCCGAACTCTCCTATGATGATGTAGGTAAGAGATACTGATGAGGTCGGCGGCGGTAGATACATAGAGGATACATATTGAATATTCTTTTGGGTCGCTATTGATGTACTGCTCCGGCGGTGACCTGGTGGATAGTCAATGTCTCTGTATCTGATGTTTTATTAAAATATCAGATGCCGTAGGAATCTCTCTCTCCCTCTTTTCCTCCCTCTTTCCCTCCCTCCCTCTCACCTTCTGCCCAAAAAAGATAGGAAATATAGATATAATTTAGGCCAGGGTATCGAACCGGTGTTGTAGGTTGGGATTTCCGTGATATTTTTATTCAGTAGCATCTTGTACTTCTTCTTATTTTCGTGGATAATTGCTTATATATATATATATATATATATAAAACCTAACATACTGGCCTTAATCCCATGGTGATGTTGTCCTCCTGACTTTGTGTTCCTGCAGGGGGGCATCGACCCCGTAGTGATGTGGACCTACTCTCATGTAATGGTGGGGCTGCAGTTCTTCGTGCCGCTGGGGATCATCTCCTTCGCCTACATCAGGATGGGTTGGGAGCTGTGGGGCGCCAGGACGCCAGGTAACGCTGAGGATGCCAGGGACGCCCACGTCCTCAGGAACAAGAAAAAGGTTAGTAGAGTAAGTACTCACACCGGAATTCTTAGTCAAACGCTTGAGACGTGAGCTTTGAGAAACTCTTATCAGGGCCCGCCTGACCAAGGTTGTCCGCAGCTATTCAATTAAGACTTAATACCACGAATTAGTAAACTACAGACTTATCTGATCGTCATAGGGCAAAATTTTAAGAAACAGTTGGGTGTAACTTTACAATTTATTTAATGATATAAATCGGATTTTTTTTTTCTTGTGTTTATTTAATCAAACCTCAAATGATGAGTAAGAATTCAGCCATATATATATATATATATATATATATATATATATATATATATATATATATATATATATATATATATATATATATATATATATATATATATATATATATATATATATATATATATATTACACTTCCATATATAATTGTTAATAATCATTTTTATTAACCTCCTTTATTACGTCACTGTACTTGTTTTTTTCTGTGGTAGAACTAATAAGTATATTTGGGGAAAATAAAGGAAATAATCCACGTAATATAAGCATCAAGTTTACTATATAACAAAATTGTTTATAAAGATGTTTGGCAATCTTAATTGTTTTCCTACCTGGCCAGTGTGGGGGATGTGAACATATTTTCTTGTGGACAGACACACTCAGTATAATTACTTACATAAACATATTCACGACTCAGTACTTATAAAAGGAACAGACAAGCTGTACTTGCATATATATATATATATATATATATATATATATATATATATATATATATATATATATATATATATATATATATATATATATATATATATATATATATAAACAGCAAATTCACACACGCACTCCCTTACGCACACACCCACACGCACACAAAATCTAAACCTCACCTATATGCTGATCTTATTCAGCATCCAATAACCAGGTAACTTAACCTCATCCCATACAGGTGATCAAGATGCTGTTTATTGTGGTGGCTCTCTTCGCCTTCTGCTGGGCGCCTCTACAGACATACCACATCCTGCAGGAAATCTACCCAGGCATTAACGAGTAGGTGGTGGTGTTAGTGGTGTTGGAGGTCTGGTGTTGCTAGGGATGTTTGTGGTGGAAGTGGTGGTTGTGATGGTGGTGGAAGTAGTAGATTGTGGTGATGGTGGTAGGTAGTGGTGGTTGTAGTAGCTAGTGGTAGTAATAAGTGGAAGTAGGTGGTGGTACTGAAGTTAGTTTCATTTAACTCAATGGACAGTGCAGATGATGTAAGAGTGGTATCAAGGGACAAAAAGAGAAATACAAGACATCTGAGGAGAATTCAGGAAAAAATAAAGAACTAGAAAATCCCATTACAGAAACTCGACCTCAGTTACCATCTTCTTTGACATCTGTAAAAATTCCTTAACTTAATTCCCTACTAAGACATTGGTAATAGGATGGCTGTCTTTGGTCCCATTCCCTATTTTGGTCTCTAATTTATCAGTATTGTTTTCCTATTACTTCCCATTTGACGTAGCTCTACCCCAACACTCATTTGGGAAACTGTGGGGGAACATAGGTGTGTTTTTAAGTGTGAAATATTTTGAAATTTTCTCTCACTCTCTTTCTTTCTTTCTTTCTTTCTTTCTTTCTTTCTTTCTTTCTTTCTTTCTTTCTTTCTTTCTTTCTTTCTTTCTTCTCTCTCTTCTCTCTCTCTCTCTCTCTCTCTCTCTCTCTCTCTCTCTCATTAGTTACCAGTATATTAACCCCCAGTTTCTCTTCCCCAGTTACCGGTACATCAATATCATCTGGTTCTGCTGTCATTGGTTGGCTATGAGTAACAGCTGCTGCAACCCGTTTATATATGCTATTTATAACGTAAGTACATACATACATACATACATACATACGTATATACATACATACATACATACATACATACATACATACATACATACATACATACATTCATAAAAATATCCATAAATCAATTCACTTATATACAAAAACGATAAATTCAATAAGTAAATTAACACACTATGCCTCACTTAACAGCTATTAATGATAAGTAAATTAATAAATCACATAAGAGTCACATAAAATCACATAAGTCACATAGAAATCACATGAATCGCATAAATTTAAGCACCAGTGTGTGCGGGAATATTAACTGCAGGAGTAAGTGAAACGCGATGGGCCGAGACCGTAGAGTTTATTTTCTATCGCGCTAATATATGTTACCGTATTGATTCTCTCTCTCTCTCTCTCTCTCTCTCTCTCTCTCTCTCTCTCTTGAATCAGGTCCTTATATAATTATGGTGTTAACAATAATGATACTCGTAATGATATAAAAAATAATAACAATATAGTTATTAATGATAAAAAAACATTATATCGAAGGAAAGATAAAAGCCTTGGACACATGAAACTCTGAAATATTCTAAATCATATATTGGTCTTTTGAAATAAAATAAACCTAAATTATTATGGTAAGTTTTTACATATTTCAACGTATGTGAGTCAGTGTATTTTTATAAACTTGGAGATGCTTTTTTTTCGGGGGGGGCGGCCATAGATTATGTGAAATGTACTCGTAGACTTTCAAATATTACTGTTATTAGTATTTACTTACTGTATAAATACTTAAAAAAATTCATATTTATCTTTTGAAATTGATTGAACTGGAAGAGAAAATATTAATTACACTGACAAACAATTAAGAGAAAATGTGACACTATCGTCCTGTTTTTATAATGAGTTAATGACAACAAAGATGTGCCTGAAAGGTTAATTAATGGCATTAACGTCGTTTTGTTTTAAGAAAAGATAAAATGTGACGATTAAGTTGTTTTCGTGATAAAAAAATGTGATACGTAAGTCATTAATGTGAGGTAGGAAAAAAAGGTGTTGTAATTCTCATATCGTTTAATACAAATAAATTCTAAGACTCAAGTTGTTTATGAGGAAAACCAGCAATCACGTCTTTTAGGAGAGACAGCCCACCACTGTAACAATAAGAGACAGACAGATGGACAGACAGACAGACAGACACAGACAGACAGACAGACAGCTGATAGGGTGAGTGATTTATGAGAACGGGAGCAAAATGAAACGCCTCATTACATAACAATCTTATGTGGAATCCGCGTCAATTTGAGGGTTTTTTTTTCTTTCTCTTGGAAGGAATAACTTAACCCAGAAAGATATGTTATGATTTAATTTACATGTTTAGAATTATTTTAAGATATTGTTGTGTTTTGGTGTTTAGGTGATATTCTCTTTTATGGTGTTTTTATCGATATTTGCATAATTATCTTCTTTTTTTTTATTGAGAGATTAATTTTATTTATTTTTTCTTGTATCTCAGTTTTTATGTTTTTATGTTTTGTTTATGTTATATTATTATTATTAATTATATACAGAAAGATAGAAATATTGTTCCGTTATGTAGTTAGTTCTCTCTCTCTCTCTCTCTCTCTCTCTCTCTCTCTCTCTCTCTCTCTTGCTCCAGACCACTACAGCACTAATACTCCTTCGTAATTAATACCCGATATGCGGAGATGATGATGAGCATACACCTGACAGATAGTTATTAATACACACCTGACAAACACCCTCTTGATATACACTTCAGATATAAAATAATTAATACACAGTTGAGATATATAAAATTATTGATAAACTATATATTTTGACAAGGTCCTTTCCACCCCCTCCCCCCCACCCCTCTACAGGAGAAGTTCAAGCGAGAGTTCCGGCAGAAGTTCCGATGGCTTTTTAAGGAAGAAAATACTGGGGAGACGAGCGAGTTTGATCGGTCCAGGTATCAGATGTCCTTCAGGTGAGTGAGTATGTCTGTCTGTCTGTCTGTCTCTTTTTATTTGATTATCTCTCTCTCTCTCTCTCTCTCTCTCTTTCTCTCTCTAGGGAATTTCATCCTCCCTCTATTCACTAATCTTAAAAATTTTCAGGGATATTTTTCTTTTTATTCTTCCTCCGCCGAAAGTTGTGGTAGAGGGGTGTGGTTTTACGTGCGCGGCTTATCAGTATTGAAGACCCACAGAGAGACGGTGATGACCACAAGAAGTACTGTATATAATGGTATTCCGTAAAGGGGTTGTATGATATTGTATTATGTGGAGGATTGTATGTTAATGAGTGCTGATAGATTAACATATATACATACAGACACGGACATACACATACTCTTGCACATACGTACGGATATACACAAACACATAGGTACTCACACACACACACACACACACACACACACACCAGTCGAATTATTCAAAAGATTCATGAAAGGTTTAATATGGACTTTCCACGGACGATTTTGACGAACACTCATTCACGTCCACACTAACACCTCTGGCACCTTCTTCGTCTCGTGTACTGAATATCAATGGAGTGTAATGGATGGTGGTGAAGTTGTGTATGAAAATGTCATGTTATCTGTAATGTATTTATCAAAGGTTGTTATTGAGACTCATATATGTGTATGTGTGTGTGTGTGTGTGCTGGACATGATGGTGTGGATGAATATATTTAAAACATTATCCACCACCTCACAACACTAAAAAATATATATAAATTAAAATAAAAAAGAATTCTCTCTCCGAAAGTTCAAATGATATCACCAAAACATCAACAGGGTCAAGAACATCCTCCATCCTGCTCTAACCTTCCTAGCATTAAAGGCGGAAGACCAGTCCTAATGGTTTAATATCCGGCCTTACGGGGTGAGGAGGAGACCAAGAGCTTGTGTCCGACATGGCCGGAACTCCTGGCGGCTTTTGGTTACAGTCAGTAATTCTCCCCCCAACTATTGTGGAATAGTCCAGGAGGAGGAGGAAGAAGAGGAGGGAAGAAGTAGGAGGAGGAGGAGGTGGAGGATAATGAAGAAGAGGAGGGAAGAAAGAGGGGGAGGAGGAAGAGGAAGAAGAGGAGGGAAGAAGGAGGAGGAGGGTGGATAGGTTAGGTTAGGTAAGAATAGGTTATGTTAGATTAGATCATGTTAACCACTGGCCGGATTACATACCTACATCTGAGAGAGAAATCTAAAACGGACTGCCACTTTGACAACTCTCTTTGTATCTCTGCTTCAGTGAGTCGCTGACAAGGCTCTCGTATCTCCAGTTAAGGGGAAGATCTAATCTACGAGCCTTTAGAGAATACGACGCCCCTGTACCTCCGTGGTCTGAATACTATAGAACACATCAGCTGGGGTCAGGATTCACAGGAAGGCGAGTAGTTGGGTATGAAGCCTCGTTGCTCCCGGCCTTTGAAACCACACGAGACATCTGGTCGGTGTTTCACTCAGGGTTGTGTTACGGCGGAGTTGATGATTATTCTCCACCACCAGCGCTGGCAACATACACCCAGGCAAAGGGTCAAGAGGAAGGCTTCAGCATATAGTGTATCTCCTTAATGCTCTTATACGTCTAGATAATTGTTAAGCCTTGAGTAATGAAGTACTTCAGGAGGATTGGCTTCAAATTCGCTTTCGAAGTTTGGGTTAAATTAAACACTAGTGGCTTAATGAATGAAACTGTATCATATCTTGCAAATTAGTAGACTTATATATTAATAAATCGCAGTATGAAGGATTCCCCCACTGTGTAAAATATCCAATAATTAGCCATTAGTACCTAAACGACTAAAGCTATACGTGATGACTGGAAAATCCTCAGTTTTACTCATTAATCTTCTAGCTAAACTCAGCGGTCCATTTGTCGTTACATACCTTGTCTTGGAAGGTACTGGGGTGTTTGTTGTACTCCTAGAGCCACAACACAGCGGGAGTCTTATGTGACGTTAGGTGTCAAGATTTACTGCCTTTCTTCTGTTGTAATTTCATGGGACTGGAAATTTGCTGTCTCGTAAATTTACAGCATTGGGCGCACTTACGCATCACTGTCTAGACACACAGGGGATACCTTTCCACACCTTAATTTTACACACATTTGTAAAATTTGTCATGACAGAAACTATCAACATTGGAGAAGTGAAATGTTATTATATTTATGACTTTAACACATTTTTTACGTGTATATGAAAGGAAAAACACAGAAAGGCTTTTGATAAAGTATATAAAAAAGTCCAACAATAACACAAAATATCGTAAAATAAATAAATGAAAAATACTGATTTATAGTCCGTTGTGTTATCAAGGTGTACCAGCCAGGGATGTGAGGAGAGAAGCTGGAATACCCTTGGCTTACCTGTAATCACTATGGCCAGGTTACTGTTGCCTCCTGAATCCCTCTCAGTTGCCAGGCGTGTAGATGACCTGTAGCTAAATATAATGATTTTGTTGATGGTAATGGAACGCAACTTGCAATTATGTTTTTATTGTTATTTAGTTTATTCTTTATTTTTTATAGACCACATTACCCGCACTGATTCACATACAGGTACAGAAACACATACAGGTACAGATACACATACAGGTACAGGTACACATACAGGTACAGGTACACAAACGGTACATGTATAAAGTTATCAAGACCTTATGTACCTTTTATTAAAGCATTTAACATAACAATACTAAATAATACCAAATGGAACGAAAACACATCTCGGGTCACTCACTCACAGATGGAGACAAAAAACGTTTCGGTGAGAGAAAAACAGTTATTCCTTCCTACGTATTTTTTTTTATAAACTTTATGTTGAAATTATTAAAACAATTGTCCGTAATAAATAATTAAATAATTTATAACTCAGTTGCTTCATAATTTTATTTACTGTGGAAGACAATTATAGTTATTATATAAATTGTAAGCTGCTTAATTTGTATTTAAAATTATTTATCATATTTCAGTTAATTTTAATGTTAACGTTGAAGGGATTAATAAAAAAAATTGTGAAAATTTTTATGTGAAAGTATATTAAGTTAAGCTAGTCAGGTGTACAAAGGGTTACACAGGTAAAAGGCTAATTAGATAGAGTTGATGGGATACTGTAAATAAATAATTAGTATTTGGACAATATAACTTTCCAGGATATAGGAATATATGCAGGTACTATAGGACTATCGAATATATGCAGGTATCGTATATCGTTATAAGAATATATGCAAACACTAAAGGGGTATATGCTGGTTCTGTATAATACTATTGGAATATATTTTATGCTGATGTAAACTATATTCAGGGATTATATACCGCTATACCAAGTAATTATATAAAATTATATTATATTCTAATCTAACCCTATATTAAGAATCTATGCTAGACTATATAAAGCTCCCGGTACAGTATATTCAGGTGTTATCCATACCTCTATATCGTGATTATATTAAGCTATATATACAAGAGATATACCATATTACAGTGAAACCTCCATATAACGGACTACCTTCTCTAATATAATCCGTTAAATAGAGGTTTCATTGTACATAACGGAGTGAGACAGGCAGCCTTTATACAGAGTGATAAGTTGACTATGTGGTGTACTGCAGGGCGTGTATGCGTGGCCTCTGTATCTTCGTCTTCCGTCGTGTATTCAGGTATAGTGACCCACCACCTCATCATGTTGACGCTTCATCTAACATTAACATCTAACATAAACATCTAACATTAACATCTAACATTAACATAAACATTAACCGGTGTAAACAAGCTTGCGTATTTTAACATCAGCTTCGCTAGTTTTCGTGTTTTTTTGTGTTTTTGTGTTTTTTGTTTTTAAGAGGTGTGTTTTTTTATCACTATAAGAATATTATAAAAGCATTTCTAAATATTCTTTCTTCTTTTTAAACATACTTAGCTCTAGTAGAAGCTGTTAAAATGACTCTTACTACTTCCGAAACAATGCTAGTCCTCTTGGTTCCTATTATAAAGACTCCTCATCTTACTAAACATTGCTAATCCTCTTGGCTTCTACTTTAAAGACTCTTCATATTCCTAAACATTGCTAGTCCTCTTGGTTCCAATTATAAATACTCTTGATCTTACTAAACATTGTTAGTGTCCTCTCGGTTCCTCTTATAAAGACTCTTAATCTTCCCAAACATTGCCAGTCCACTTGGTTCCTATTGTAAAGACTCTTATTCTTCCTAAACATTTCTAGTCCACTTGGAACCTGTTTAAGAAACCCGTATTTCCTCCTAAACATTCTTAATCGTCTCTAAACACTACCTTACCAACACATAACACTCTGGCTCTTCTCAAACATTCGCAGTCTTTGTCTGAGTCGAAGAAATGACTGACAACACTAACGGCCTCAGGGAATCTATCAACACTGCACACAAAATTCTATTAATACTTCTATTCTAACACGTTCTAACACATTCCTAGGATACTAACATACTAATCATATTGTTGGGAATTATAACATCAAGGTGAAAGATTGTTTGTGGTCTGAGTGAATGTTAAGTTAATATTATCGTTTAGTTTGTTAATATAAAATACTATACCAGACTCTATAGTAAAAATATATTAAGATCTGGTACTGTTTTTGTTGCCCACTAATCTACCTGGCAAACTAACCTAATTAACGCGTATAAATAACTGCTTCTCAAACTGTAACCAAGTCGTTTACCTGTGATGGGTGATAGTTAATGAGCTTCACCTTCTTAGATATTTTACAAACTGAGGGAAACTGATGTTGTTTATTTATCTCATTTACTTGATGATGTTTCTACCTGTCTGTTTAAGGTGAGTTATGGTGTGAGGTTTATGCTGTGGTGGTATATAATGTTTAAGGTTTATTATGGTGGTAGGAAAGGAAAATTAGTTCAGTCAGTGATGTTGTTGTTTTATATATACAAGCTGATGAGTCTTAAACCTGAACAGCAATTAGGGAAACTCAATAGAAAACGGGACAGTGACCATGGGGTGGTATAGAAAATGGGGCAAGAGTTAACTACATGATGTTCTTGCTATCACACACACACACACACACACACACACACACACACACACACACACACGCACACACACACACACACGCCATTCTTGTCTTAAATTGATAATAGATTGTTAAAAAGTATTATTTTAACTAGTGTCACTTTGCTGAAAATATTCGCAGATTAACATTAGATTAGTTACAGCCTTAGAGTAGAGTAGTCACAACCTTAGATTAGACTAACCACAGCTAAATTAGATTAGTCACAACCATAGATTATTTATTCACATCCTTAGATTAGATTAGGATGAATCCCCTTATCACTGAGGTTCGATTTATCCAGTTATTAACATATTCTAAAGGTTTGTTAGCAAGTTATTACACTTTTTAGACCAATACTAACTACCTCTGCTGCCTTCTTCCGCCTGTTCTTGAAGGTATCCGATTGAACGGCAAGTTTCGACAGCCTCCGACCAGCGGATATCTCGCAGCACTGACGCTACCATGCTGAACGGCTCCTCACGTTCCTCCTCGCACAAGTGAGTGGTTATGAATACGAGGCAGTGAAGGGGTGGAGAGGGGATGAGTGTGATAGTGAGTGGGGGATAGTGAGGATGATTGTGAGGTAATCGTTGAGTGTTTATGAGAGAAGAGGAGTGTGATGACATAGTGATGTGTTTGTAAATGTGATGTAGTGAGGAGTAGTGATGATGAGTGTGAGGTAAGAGTGAGTATTTATGAGAGCACAGGACTAAGGGAAGGGCATAAGGAATAATCTGAGAGGTATTGATTGTGTATGAGGAAGGGAGAGTAGGGAGTGTTTGTGAGGGAGAGAAGGAGGCAAGAAGGGGAGTGTTTGTGAGTATGAGAGGTTTGGGGAATGTTATGAGTGTTTATGAGTGTGAGGGGAGAATGTATGTAAGAGGGAATTAAAGAGAATGTGTTTAGAATTATGAGTGCAGTATGTTCCTTAAGTTAGGGTCTTTTACGTGGTGTGTGTGTGTGTGTGTGTGTGTGTGTGTGTGTGTGTGTGTGTGTGTGTGTCGTTATATATGTGTGAATTTATGTGTGTCTTTATGTGTGTGTGTTTGTGTACATGTGTGTAAATATTTAATTTGTTTCTCTATTTTTTCTTGTTGGTCATAAAATTTCAATAGTGACTATAACAATAAAAATATCACAAAAATTTAATCCCTTGAGTACGATGACATAATCCCTTAAGTACAATGACTTAACCCCTTGAGTACGATGACTTAACCCTTTGAGTATGATGACATAATCCCTTAAGTACAATGACTTAACCCCTTGAGTACGATGACTTAACCCCTTCCGTATGATGATTTGATGACTTATGGGTTTATATCTTCGTACTCAAGGGATTAAGTCATCATACTCAAGGGGTTAAGTCATCATACTCAAGGGGCTAAGTCATCATACTCAAGGGTTAAGACTCTCATAGTTTACTAAACACTTCTTTCTCCTCTCCCTTCGTCAGGTCAACACTCACCGTTCAAGGACGACCCTCCACCACCTCTGGAGGAGTCCGGACCATCAACGGGGAGTCCCTCGGTGACCATCAGGAAGTACACGTCTGCGTCCCTCTCAAGTCCCACTCTCACCTTCACCCCTCTGTGTATCGACCCAGAGTGGTAGGAGACACCAGGATATAAACGGGATGGGGTGTGGAGTCTCGTGTAGGATTCTCTCCCGTCCTAAGCCTCCATGTAGAGTTTTTGCATTGGCAGGCCGCACCAGGGTATGAGTGATGGGCACCAGGGGATGGCAGTATGTAGGATATGCTTTCGTCTCCAGTATCCATGTTGAGTCCTGTTAGTCCTATAGTGGGAGGTAACAGCAGGATATAAAGTAATTAGGATTGGAATGGGAATCTTGTGTAGGATTCACCCACATTCTAATCCTCTATGCTGAATCCTGGAAGGTGTGGGGACACGAGATTATTATAGGAATTGAGTAGGGTCCCTCCGTAGGATCTATTCACGTCTCAATCTCCAAGTGTCGTCCTTGAGTGAGAGAAGAAATGAAGAATCCTAAAGTGAGAGGAGTTGTAAATATATGAAGAGAAATGGAGTGAAAGTCTTTATATAGGATACTATAAGTGGGAGTCCTAACGTAAGCTTCAATTTCATCCCAACCCTCTATATAGAGTCCTATTCGGATTATAGGATGAGAAGGGACGACAGGACAATGAAGGGATGGTGTAGTCTTGTGTAGGATTGACTCTCATTTGTATTCTCGACGAGTGACTTGAGTCCTTCAGTGTCAGGGACCTCGAGGATGGAGAAGGCATTACGTCACTCACATCCTAACCACCCACTGGGAATCCTGCCGTAAATAGAGACACTGAGGTGAAATAAATTTAAAAAAAAAAGACTGTGTAGGATGCATTTTCATATTCACTACTCTTATGGAATCCTAAAGTACGCGACAAGACACGCGGGTATGCTATAGAAGGAATGGAGTGAAATCCTTGCTGTAGGATCCACTCTCATAGGAAATAGGAAAAATCGAATGGAAGGACCCGCCGAAGAAGCTATGATGTAGGTCTGGGTTTCCTTATAGGATTTTAAAGACAGAGATAAGGCGATACAGTATCACCTTAGCAACCGACCCACATGTCTGAGTTATGACGATTGCTAGGTACAGGAGGAGGAGAAGGATGAGAGAAGAGAAGGATGAGAGAGGAGAAGGAAGAGAGAAGAGAAGGATGAGAGAGGCTTAGTTGAAAGGTCGCGTGAGATGCGATTGGAGGAAGGAGGAAGAGCTTGATGAAGGATGACGTGAGGAGAAGGTTGAAGATATACTATTGTAGGATGTAAGTGAGATAAAGGACATGAGACGCGGCTGTAGGAGTTGAGAATTCCTTCACTAGCTTTGTCTACTTATCATACACTAACTCACTTCATTCTCACGTGATTTTTGTATACGAGAAATGAATATGCCAGGAAAATATGAAGGGAAAAAAGGTGATTGGAGAATACTATGTAGATGTTTTGTAGTAGTAGTAGTAGTAGTAGTAGTAGTAGTAGTAGTAGTAGTAGTAGTAGTAGTAGTAGTAGTAAAGATAGTAATAGGTGTGGCTATTGGGGGAGGCTGGAGGCCATTTAAAAAAAGTGGTAATGGTAGTAGTAGTAGTAGTAGTAGTAGTAGTAGTAGTAGTAGTAGTAGTAGACCTAACTACAGACCATAAAAGTAACTCATTCAACATAAACAAAAACCCCAAAGCATAAAATTCAATAAACATGTGACAAAAAAGGTTTAAACCTAATATGTCAACACACCCATGAGCCACCTTTTATTAAACGTCAATATGAACTTAAGTAAAGTGTTGAACCTGAACCCTAGTGTAATATAAAACTTGAAATTGAACCCAAGTGTACTATTGAACCTGAACCCTAGTGTAATATAAAACTTGAAATTGAACCCAAGTGTACTATTGAACCTGAAACTGAACTTAAGCATATAATTGAACCCAAAACTGAACTCTGGTGGTTTAGGGAGTCAATTGAACAAATTTTTAGCATACCTCAATGAAAAAAAAATGAAAGATGAAGAAAGGAGGAGAAAAAATGATTCGAAAGTCATACTCTAAGAAGAAAGTTAAAGAAAGTTACGAGAGAAAACTACATTTGGGAAAAGTTAAAAAATAAACAAGTTCCTTCTGTGTACAAGAGTTTCACCTTTGTTCGAGCTTGAGCTGAGGAATAAGAAAAATGAGAGAAAATGGAACAAAGATTGAAGAAAAAATGAGAGAGAGAGACACACAAAGAAAAGAAAATTGAATAAAAGGACAAAGAAAACAAAAGTGTAAAAAGTAAGATGTAGGAAGTGAAAGACAAGACAAACTACTGATAAATCATAAAAGATGAATAATGGAATAATTCAGGTAATGAGAAGAACGAATGGAAGCTAAAAGAGACATTAGATAAATAAATATATAAACGAAATAAGGGAAGAGACGAATGAGGAAATAAAGGAATGTACTATAGACAGACTAAAGACCCATTGAAATACAGGACATTTTCCCTACCCCCCTCCTTCATATCCCTCCTCCCCTTCCTCCCCTCCCCGTACCCGCTACCCCCTCCTCTTTCCCTCGTCCCCCAACCCCCTCTTCCTCTCTCTCCCTTACATCACCACAACATCACCTCTGCTGAATTTACGAGAAGAGAGAAGGAGAGAAAAAAAACTACCTCAATGTCGGCTGTCGCTTGAAAAATAGCTTCATATCTACTGGCCTTAGTTTATCGTCAGACGTAAATCAGACCAATGTGTCCTAGTGGCGGTGTGGCATTGAGGTAAAATAGTGAGAGAAGGAAGGAGGGATTGAGAATTTGTTATTTATCTGCGTTTAACCACACTTGAAATACGAGAAAATTGTTCCTTACGAGAGAAATAGTTTTATATATCAGCTAAGTGATTAAAGCTATGGATATATAGATTTTTTTTTTTAATGCTTATTGATTAGATTTTCCTTGTGTGTTTTTTTTTGGGGGGGGAGGGATTTAGGAAAGTGTATTAGACTGTGTTGCCTGTGATTGGCTGGCTGGCTGGCTGGCTAATTGGCTGGTGTACGTAAGTTGAAGTACACGACCATGAAATATTATAAAAACTGGACTCACCTCTTTGAAAATCATCAGCTAATGAGCCCTCCTTACCCACTTCCTTCCCTTCCTCTTTCCCCTTCTTTCCCCTTCCCTTCCTCTCTCCCCTTCCTTCCCCTCCTCCTTCTCCTCCTCCCCCTCTACCTCAGTCCCCTACTCCCTACTCCTCCGGCTGTAGAATTCGAAACGACGTACCATAATATCTGAGAAAATAGTTATCGGTGAAAATGGTCAATAGCAGATCCCACAGAAGAGAAAAAAATCTTAAAAATATATATCATAAGATCTAAGCATGAAAAATATGTGAAATAGATTAAAAAATAAGGAGGATGGAAACACAAAACGAAGATAAGAAGGAAAATAAAGGAAAATAATGATAATGATCAGATGTTCAACCTTAAGAAAGGAAAGAGACAAATAAGGAAATAATAAAGAAGATGAACACTAACTGAAAGGGTATTATAGAACTTAATGATAAAACTTAAGTGTTGTAATGTGCACATAACACAACCCTTGAATATTATCAGTCCAAATAATAATAATAATAATAATAATAATAATAATAATAATAATAATAATAATAATAATAATAAGAAGAAGAAGAAGAAGAAGAAGAAGAAGAAGAAGAAGAAGAAGAACAAGAACAAGAAGAACAAGAAGAACAAGAACAAAAACAAGAACAAGAAGAACAAGAAAAAGAAGAACAAGAATAAGAACAAGAACAAGAACAAGAAGAAGCACAACAGCAACAACAACAATAACAAGAGCAATAAATGTATGGAAAGTAAATTGCCCGAAAAAAACAATTTCCATTGACTGTAAAACCCATGGAAGAAAATACTACTCGTCATGTACGTCTTTAAAATGACTTAAAATCCCTCAAAAGTGTGCGTGTTTGTCCCCCAGTACACAGAGCTGGCCCCTGTCGATGCCCTCCTCAACTCTCGCCAGAAAAATAGTGACCATCGTGCCAGAGAGAGAGAGAGAGAGAGAGAGAGAGAAAGAGAGAAAGAGAGAGAGAGAGAGAGACGCTGTTGTGGCCAGACAGGGGGAGTCACCTTGTCCTGAACCAATGTTTACCGAGGCCTCACCTGGGTACCCGTTGAAGTTTGGCAGAATATTTTCACCTTTAAACTTCACGAGGCGATATTTGTTAGATATTGTCTTTCATGTTACTGACGCTAATGAGGTGGTTGATGAAATGACCACCGGCATCAAATGGGTCGTTAAAGAGGTTATTGTGGGGGTGATATTGGTGTTTGGAAGTGATATAAAAATTGCTGATGTTATGGTTATGGTTTGTTGAACATGATTATAATTATCTTAAAGACATTGATGATTGGAATGATGTAGTGAAGGGTTGCCATTTGTGGAGAAAGAGAGAGAGGGAGAGAAAAAGAGAGAGACAGACAGACAGAGAGAGAGAGAGAGAGAGAGAGGGGGGGGGGAAAGTGCTGTTAACAGAGGAAGATAAGAATGTAAATTGAATTTCTCCTTAGAACGATAACACTAGAAGAGAAATGAACCACAACACCTACCCAGTCCTTTGCCACAGTGTATAAAAATAAAGTTATTCTGATAGTAATAGAGCTCAATTATTCTCGGGCGTTCTGTGTTTTAACTCTGTCTCTTGCCCAGCTGACAGTCTCACGTGTGGTGGAGAACTGGGGAAATGATACTTGTGTCTAAAGTGCATATCACAGTGGATCGGAAAACATAACAAGATATTTCACTCTCAGACAAATGAGTCCCCGATAGTCTGGTGTTGGCGTGTAGGGAAAGTGACGTCGTGTTTTGACTTACAGATGGAAATTTTATGTGAATTTAGGAATAAACTGATTAAAAACGAATTCTAACACCCTACTGATGCGAATGACAGGTGAAAGGTCATATATATATAAGACATCTAGTGTGGTGTAATATAGAACTAAGGAAGTGAATCTCTCCTATGTGTTAAGATATGTTTAGTGAAGATATTAATGATGTGTTCTGTGGTTAATGACTATGAATGTTGAAATACATTAATACATTATTTTAACCAGACAGAATTTAACATAAGATAGAGAAATACGTGTTAGGAGATGTGTTGAAAATGTTAAGTGTAGGAATTTATGTAACATTCCTCAGTGACATAAAAATACTACCTGATTTTGAGTACATTTAGAGTACTTACTTAAAGACCTATTCTGTTCAAGTACATATATACTGTACACTAAAACAAGAACAATATTTATCAAGTTGGAAAGAATATTTTTTTCCTTATAGAAGTTGTTTATCTCACGTAGAAACAAACACGTGAGGAATGGTGCTTCAAGACCCTTGGTATAGAGGAACTTTAGTGTATTAAAGCAGAGACAATATTTGTGGACAAAAGCGTAATATCTCTTCGCTTGCTGGATAATTACATAGAGAATACATAACTTTATTGAATACACCTTTAATGTAATGTAATTAATGATAAGACAATTTATTGTTGAATTTTATACATACATACATACATACATACATACAAACATACATACATGCATACATACATTCATACATACATACAAACATACATACATGCATACATACATACATACATACATACATACATACATACATACATACATACATACATACATACATACATACATACATACATACATACATACATACATACATACATATTATCCACTTTCCTAACCTGTGTACATAAATGATAGTATAGTCACAAATCATACATACATTATAATATACATACATATATACATACATACACGTTGTTTATATGAATACGTTCTTACATGTGATGGTAGTATTAATGTTCTTCTCAGTATATGTTCTTGTTCACCATCACTCACTATAGGCGAAGCTCAGTGTTATAGTGAACAAAATGTGCTCAAGATACTGTAGGTGTGGATATATATTCCGGGGTTCATTTTAATTCAAAGGATTTTTTTTTTTTTACGTGAAGTTCAGTTTCGTTTTAGGGGTTCAGTCTGAATTATGGAGAGTTCAGAATCGTTCCGGGGTTCATTTTGTATGGAAGGAGTTCAGTTGTGTTTTTTGTGTTCAGTTTGTATTGTGAAGAGTTCAGTATTGTTTCGAGTGGTTTATTTTGTACTCAGTATCGTTCCGGGGGTTCATTTTGTGGCACAGGCGTTCAACTTGTTTCTTGAGGTTTACTTTCAATTTCAGATCAATATTTTTAGTTCCTTGGATTTATAGATCAGTTTGGGGTTCATTCTAGGACTTAACTTATGGATTCAATTTTAAGTTCAAGTCTGGATTCAATTTTGGGTGTCAACTTTGACTTCCAATCCGACAGTAACGATAACAGTCAGAAACGCCAGTGTAGGCAGACGGGAGACAACCGAGCCTTCATCTAATGGAGAGGTAAACAAACGCCAGACGCTCCTGGTGGCTCGTGTTGGCGATGGATGATATGGTGAAGTACGGGTCCTAAAAGCCTTGGAAGGATTCTCCTCTGTGGGGGAAGCACATCCTAAGCTCTCAAGGGGGATGGGAGATAGAAGGATAACTTCACTAAGAGAGGAGAATTACTTTGATTTTGAATTTGAAATCTAATGTAAGTTTGAGAAGAGGAATGCTACTTTGATTTTGACTTTTGAGTTAGATCACTAGCGTAAAATTGAAGATGAATCATTATGTACGCTCAAGGGTCGATGAATTTTGTTTGTTTCAAGAAGCCAACTGCATTCGATTTAGATTTAGATGAATATTGTGAATTTGATGACTATTTCGGGTATAAGTGTTAGCCTTAGAAAGCAAATAGGTCAAACTGTAAGGGAATTCTCTCAAAAAAATTGTGAGAATTACTTAATGAAGGTTAATACGCCCGCGACAGGCTCAGTAGGACAGGTAAGAGGGTTGTCACTGTCCCAAATTATTGCTCATGTCTTATTGAGATCCGTAAACGACTAGTACAGGTAGATGTAACATAAGGACTATTTTTGTTAGACGAGAGTGTATATTGTGTATGTATGTTAAGAAAGTGTAATGGGGTGCTATATTGAAAGGGTGATTAAGGGTGATTAAGGGAGATTATTTCCATTAGGGTGATTATGATATAAGGTTATAGGTAAGATTATCCATAAAATAATACGTAGTTAACACATGCATTAACACGTCACTTAAAGATAATTCAAAAAGCAATATTTTCTTTGTTTGTACAGTAGATATCAAGTCTATTGTACTGGATAGTAAACCGTATTTTTTTTCCCATGATAGATATGTCGTAGTTTCCATAGTGGACAAAATTTCTTTATCTAACAGAGGAAGATTTAATCTCCCTTATTAATGACTTAACTAACGCAGGTGCTATACAGAGTGTGCTGAGGAGAGCGAGGTAACTTAACTAATTAACTAACTCAAGACTTCACTATAAGCATCAACACTGTCTTCTCCATTCCGTGTATATATATATATCAATAACTAACGAAATAACGACGTGATTGATGCTACCCGGATAACTGATTGTTATACAAAAGAAACAACTATTTTCTCCTGTTATAGATATTTAATACTATCTTGTATATGTGGGTATAGTGTGGGTGTTAGTATTTCCTCCCCGCTCTTGGCTACGTGTCTGGATAATGATAACTAATCCCTCTGCGTGTTGTGGTGTTAAGCTTATACGTGTGTTCTTTGGTTGATCAATTTTTCACCTGTGTGTATATACCCGGAGGAGATAATTATTTTGTCTTTGTTTATCTAGTAGGAATTTATATCGTCACTATGTTCTTAGAGAAATAATTGCTCACACTTCGCTTGTATGTCTGTTATTAATGTGGAAATAAACAGAGAACAAGGTAAAGATATTATCCAATTATATTATATCAGTTTTTACATTCCTTCTTATTATTTTCTTGACGGTGTGGTACTGGTGACGCCCCTCAGTGTTTCTTACTTGCTTGGTGTCTACCCATTATCTTACAACAGTGAACAGTAAGGGAGTTTTAATGGTCACTCAATGCATAACAGTAGAGCGTCACTAATGGGAAATAATTCAGAGTCTTATAGGTGAATTATCGTAATACAACACAAGGCCACGAATTATTATTTTTTTATTTGTATGATTTATCTCAAGTACTTAATGGGTTAATGGCCTTCATGTTTAGCGGTGTATATCCATGTATCGTTTTGTTATGATTTTATTGTACTTTGATAAATAATAATACTACGATGGCGTACATATTCAGGAAAATTTAAAGGTCTGTTGAGTTAAAGTTTAGCTAATATATTAAGGCGATGTGTGAATGTCTCTCTGTGTGCTTGGGTAATATGTTATTTTCTTACTTTGTTGTGGTTAGATTAGGTTAGGTTAGGTTAGGTTAGGTTTGGTTAGGTTAGGTTAGGTTAGGTTAGGTTAGGTTAGGTTAGGTTAGGTTAGGTTAGGTTAGGTTAGGTTAGGTTAGGTTAGGTTAGGTTAGGTCAAGAAAACTTATTCTGTGACTTACGATGAGTCACAAGTCAGTCAATGTGTTGTTTACCAATCAGTCACATCTAACAGTCAGTAATGATAACAGAGTGTGACTGTTTTACTCTTTTTTGTCTATAATATCGTAACACTTGTCACCTCCTGTGATCTAAATGTTATGTAACGTGTCCGAGATATATTTTTTCTTTGGTAATACTCTATCTGATAAATCCTATACAGGTCTATCCTACTGTAATAATATCCAAGTGAATATGTATCACTTGACTGTAACTGCCAAAATACAGTAGGATACATAAATGCTCTAATACCACGAATAATTATGTGTTATTACAGGAGAAAAATCACACATAGACACAGATTATATACGATACATAGAGCTCACCTGTATCCCACTACGCCCACCATCGTCTGTAACAGGTTAATTAAATGTCATGTTGAGGGAATATGATATCCTATAGGACATCTCCTTCTTGACCTGTACCCTACGTGGTGGTGTATAGGACCACCTAAGTCTTCATCCCTGTACACAACAATGTCAATAAAAACAGTTCTCTGGAGTTTGTTCTTAATTTATGAAGTTCCTTGCAGGTGTGGGGGGGTGAGAGAGGAATGGAGAAGGGTGAGGTAAGTGATAAAGATGGGAGAAACAGAAAGGGATAGAGACACATACAGATACATAAACACAGACAGAGATGGGAAAACAGAGAGACAGAAGGAGAAGAATGTTAACAGTAAACAGGTAACACTATTAGGATAACTCCACTCAGTGAGGTGAGTGGGCGGGCGACGTGTTAGCTTGAGTGGGATTGAACCTTTATCACCAATCACAAAGTTCTCAGCTGACTCAAGTTTCCCTCTCTAACTTCCTCCTGGCCCACTTCACTGACGCTCTGGTAAATATTTGTTTGTCAGAAGTATTTTGTTGCTCTCAGGTTCAAAGAAGGTGTGTTTGAGATGTAATATATACAGGTGTTTTAATTAGATAGTAAAAAAGAACAATCATAAACGTATTTTTATTTTGTTGATGTGTTTAAGTTATTAAGTAACTCAAGATGACGTTTTAATATTTTAATTTACTCACTAAACAACAAAAGTTACTTAGAGGTAACATGAGAAAGACAGCGGTCGTTCTTAAAGGACAATAAACAGAGTCGGTTAATAAATCACAATGATAACAGAACGATCTAATATGACAATCAATCGGTCACATTCATATTAGTTCATAAGACTAAACAATAAAAAATCGAAATCAAAACATCTGAAACAAACCTATGTACAGTAATATCGTGAGCGGTCGTTTGGCAAGTAGTTGGGTAGTTTGCGCTGATCACTCTCGCCAAGCTGGAGTCTGTTTGTGGGCTGAGTCAATTAGTGGCTTAATACACCTACCTGAGAACGGACGGTCCTGTCCCTGTGAGTGAACTCAGATAGTTATGCGCCTGTGAGTGGACACGGATGGTAATGCGCCTGTGAGTGAACTCGGATAGTTATGCGCCTGTGAGTGGACACGGATAGTCATGCGCCTGTGAGTGAACTCGGATAGTTATGCGCCTGTGAGTGGACACGGATAGTCATGCGCCTGTGAGTGAACTCGGATAGTTATGCGCCTGTGAGTGAACACGGATAGTTATGCGCCTGTGAGTGAACACGGATAGTTATGCGCCTGTGAGTGAACACGGATAGTTATGCGCCTGTGAGTGAAGACGCATAGTAATGCGCCTGTGAGTGAACACGAATAGTCATGCGCCTGTGAGTGGACAGGATGCGCCTGTGAGTATGCGCCTGTGAGTGAACACGGATAGTTATGCGCCTGTGAGTGAACACGGATAGTTATGCGCCTGTGAGTGAACACGGATAGTTATGCGCCTGTGAGTGAACACGGATAGTTATGCGCCTGTGAGTGAACACGGATAGTTATGCGCCTGTGAGTGAAGACGCATAGTAATGCGCCTGTGAGTGAACACGAATAGTCATGCGCCTGTGAGTGGACACGGCTAGTATAATCTGACACCGTAGAGAGGAGTACACAGCACGAACCAAGGTAAGAATAATGTGGTGTATGATTTTGTTAGACATTGTGGCCGGTTCTCAATTAACCTGATTTGACGGCTGTCTGACGTAGTGTAACCATCGATGACGTCACGAAATTGGTGGTGCGCTCAGACGACGGAGTTAAAAGGTAAATAAATATTAACCTTCGTTACGGCTTCTTCCTCGCGGCTACACACTCCCTCCCCCTAGCTAGGAGACAACAATGGACGAGTTGGCGGTTCTGGGTAAACACGATAAATACACTCGGCCACGTTCGTAGAGTGTTACTGTATATTTACCAAGACTAGATGTCTTTATGACTGGAGAGTATTATCAACAACTCGGCCATCCAGCTATGAAGCACATTAAATTACATCTGTCATCTGATCATCTCAAGCCCATCCCCTGGCCATGGTCGTCCCTTGTCCTTACACAACATTAAATATAGACATCAGTGATGACAAATTAAAATTTCCAGACAAAATAGAGAACATTGATGTAATCTTCCATGTTGGACTTATCGGTCTTTTGTATCAGTTTGGCAGCCAACAAGTAAATACACACGATGATACTTGAGCAGTAATATATTTTAACTTAAAAATAAGGTATGGTTGTGTATATCAACTTAATACTAACATCAAAATGATCTTCACAACAGTAGATGCAACATGGGGGAAGTGCCGTCGAGCAGCAAGTCACCGTCTCTTTCTTGTCTTCTTATCTTTCGGTACTGTGATGAATATTTTACCTGGTGAGGAATTGTTGGTACTCTTGCACATTGGCACAAGGCACCAACGACCCTTTGTCCTTTGCTTGAACATTGTATATGGCCACAAGTCCTGTATTTATGTAAGTAACAACACATATTTCACAGCTGGCTGATTCCCAGTCTGCGGCTCGCACCCAATCACAGAGCTTTTTGCAGTCAGTGACATTTAGCACCTTTAACCCTTATTTTTTATCCTTTTGGGCTTAATTTATTTAAAGTTATCATTACCCTGTAGGGAATTTAAGCGTTTTATTTATCCAGTGACCTTCCCATTTTCCCTTTTCGCCCCACCGCTGCCGTAACCACACGTAAGCCGGGCAAGATGAATGTGGTTTATCCCGCACGTGTTAACGGCCACGTTAGAAACGGGCGGCAGATGTTCCCCCGATTCTGGTAAGAACCAGAATTTACCCGTGTAACTATCTCGCAGGACAGGTGTGATAGGCCTTTTACCTCCTGAGCAAACAGGTAAAAATACTTAGTACGAGCTTATACTCTTATCTGACGTATACATTGAGGTTATATTGCTATATCAGATAGTGAATTATTATAAACCACATATACAGGTAAATATTACATAGTATTTACTGTATATAAGTATAGTTAGGTACGATAAGTGGGTCTTTATCAGTAAAATACGACACGTTATCAAACTGTTTTCATTTTGATAAAAACTTTGTATATTACCTTCACTAATGACTATAACAACTACCCCATCACACTAATGAGGGTCTAATTATGGGGGTTAATTGCTACTTAAGCTACCTGTTACTCTGATCACAGTGTCTTTTGATCTTTGTGGAGGGAACTTTTAGAGGTGAAGGGGAAGGGGTTAGGGTAGGTGCAGATTATTATTATTATTATTATTATTATTATTATTATTATTATTATTATTATTATTATTATTATTATTATTATTATTATTATTATTATTATCATTGATGTTGCTCCTTCTGTTGCTTCGGACCTCCACCACTGGCCTGAGTTGTCAGTTGACTTCTGTCTTCGGTCGGGTGTTGTACTCAAGGTGTTATATGTACAGTATTATTTTTTTATTTCATTACCATTTTTCACCGTTTATTTCCCTACATTATTGTTCTCCTCTATATTCCTTCTTTTTATTCCTTCTAAGCTTAATTACTTCTCCTCTTCTTCATGCTAGACCAAATATCATATACTTTATTTTTACTTCAGGATAAACTATGGATGGTAAACGTGACCCCCCCCCTACACACACCTACCCCCACACACTCACCCACATAAAACCCCACACATCTACACACACACACACCCACACCCTCCACACATACCTACATACACCCCCACCCATCTACATACCCACACATACATCCCCCTCACACATACACGACCCACAAACACCCACCCCCACACACACCCACACATACACCCACACACCCAGCCCCTCACACATCCTTTTATTTCCCTTTACAATATTTCTCTGCCAGGGCAAATATTATACAAGGATTTCTTCAGCATACAGAAGAGTTCCCTGGGTTTTCTATTTCTCCCTCGGCAGAGTTTGTCATTCCCGCTGGTGATTCCTGAGTCTGAGAATTACTGCACCGTGAGAGGAAACAGTGTGTACATATATTAGTGTGTGTGTGTGTGGGGAGGGGGGTTGTTGATGGGTATAGGTGTGGATATGTGACTGTCTTCGTGGGTGTGTGTGTGTGTGTGTGTGTATGTGAGTTAAGTAAATGTGTGAGGGTATGTGTGTGTGTGTAAATCAAAAAGAAACTTGACTGTATCATCTAACACACAGAGAAAGAAAGTGAAGAGGTGGTATTTGACAGCAGAAAATCAGAGTCGAGAAATATGTTCAGAGACTGTGATGGCCTCTGGGGGGATGAGAGCTTATGAGACTCAAATATTTGGGAAGGAATCTGAGTGAGGGAAGGGTGAGGACTTGATGCTGAGATAACACACAGAGAACCAGAAGGTATGTCTCGTTATTGTTGGTACCCCTGGCCATGGTGAGGGTGGCGGAGAGGGGATGGTAAAGGAGTGGAGAGGCGGTGAGAGAGAGGAGAGGGTGGTGGATGGGAGAGTATGAGGGATGGGAGAGGGTGAGAGAGAGAGATAGAAAGGGAAGGTGAAGAAGGAAACAAAGAGAGAAAGGGACAGGAATAGAAAGAAAAAAAGCTAAAGGAAAAAACATAGACAAAGAAAGAAACAGCGAACGGAAAAATAAAGATTCTCGCTCTTTTTTCTTCTACACACACACACACACACACACACACACACACACACACACACACACACACACACACACACACACCCACACCCACACACACATCAATCTATAATTGTTGAGTGGAGGGGCAGCCTTTTGTGTTTTGTGACCATATTACTTTAATAATCTTATTGTGAATTGTATTATGTTGGTTAGGTTAGGTTAGGAGGTGGGTTAAGTTGGTGGGACTTACCTTGAATCTATACCTGATTTATATTTATTTGTATATCTTGGTATAAGCAGAGTTTTGGGGATTATTTTTACTCAGCTTATATATCCGTTCATACAAGTATAATATTTTTGAGTGAATAAAACCCGAGGATGATAAATAGTCACTATTGTCTTGAAACACATAGATACTTACCAACCAGTGTAGGTATGAGTTTAACGAGTACTAAATTTTTTTATATTTCTTTCAACTTAATGATGTAAATATAAGGAAACAGCTGGGTTATGCGACGTTACCTGTTTTGGAGGGGCAGGTTATAGTGTATGTCCGTAAC